CCATGTGTTCGTTACGTTATAACAACAAGAGCATTCTTAATATAAAGGCCAGAGTTATGCTTTGTTCTGAAGAATTGACATATTATGACAAAAACTAGATTCAGGATCTAGAGCTTTAACACTCGATGACCAGATGTCAGCAGTATTTAGATCTGTCTGCTCTTCTATTCAGACAAAGTGCTGACAACACGAATATACAATGGAATTCAGGGCTATGAAACAGTAGGCCTGAGAATGTACGTTTGCATTGTTAACTTTACTGTTTAACTTTAAGAGCAATAAAGATGTAAAATTATTTGCCTAAACAGGCTGTTTTATCAGAATCTGTAGAGAAATTCTTTAAAAAGGTATAGATGTTTTTTTTGGGGGGGTAATCCATACCTCCCAAGTGTCCTTGTTTAGGAGCCACAGTCACTATTTTGGACAAAAATCCTTCTGTCCATCATTTCTATCCTAATGTCCCTCTTTTCTAGGAGCTCAATATTGTTCGTGTCTGAGTGTATAACAGAGTTCCACAGCAATAATACTCACAGCACTGTGTCTCTAAATTACAATAAATGTGTTCAGAAATCAGTCTGTGTAAATAAGACACAGTGTTCTTGTTCTACATAACATTTTAGTTGCATAAATTATTAGTAAGTCACCTAAAATATCTCAGAATAGCCTCGCCCCTAGTCAGACTGTAGGGCCAAAGTAACTACTTCATCTCATTAACGTAGTTATAGTGTATGACGTCCCCTGACGCTGTCCTTCTGTTCAATGTTAAATGGCTTTACTGCTAAAGAAAAGGCCCCAGCAGTCTTAGGATAATGTGGAAGTATTAGCCTAAGGAGTAATGGACAGTGGTGATTGGCTGAGAGTGTCAGCTGCCTGCTTACAGCCTATCACAGCGCTTATTGCTGGTATTCTTATTTTATTTATTACTGGCAGTTATAAGGTGCCAACATATTCTGCAGCGCTGTACAATTGGGGGAAAAAAACAGTACAGTATAAATAGACCAATACAAAAGATAAAGAGGGCCCAGCCCGTGAGCTGAGATCTATCCCCTGAAGATCTTTTATACAAAGTACTTTGCTAGATAGGTATAATGTGTTTTGGCTAGAAAGAAGTGTGTAATATCTGCCTTATCCATACTTAGAGAAAGCTGGGCTGTGGCTGGCCAGGGACCCGATTGGTTACCTCTGCTGTACTCTCCTCATAGCCAGAAATAGAACCTATAGTGATTATAGCTCTGTTCCCCCAGTAATTAGGTGACACATAGTTCTAGGAGTATATCTGATTTTATTGCTCAGAATGCAGCCTTTTACGAACAGGGCCCCAGCATGTGGTCTCCATTCTCTACATACAGATCTCGCCCAGGCGTCTTTGTGTCTGGGAGATAATTGAATCAGGGCTCGCTAAGTTAGTTATCTCCTGGATACACAGAAAAATACATATACATGAAAAATCCTGAAATCACATAAAAACAGTTATTAACCAATCCATACTACAGAAAAGATAAGTCTTATATCCCTGGATAGCTCTTGGTGGAGCGCCCAATCTGTCCAAATAGGAGATTTGGAGAAACGCCACCCCATTAAGGTTTAGACCGAATGCTAGCGTGGTCTAAGCTGTAAATAGTTCCAGGCAGTCACTGGTATTTGACGGTACTTTAATAGGGTCTCTAGCCTGTTGGGGAAGGAGGCTCCCCCGGCTCATAGGTAGTGATTGTTCATTCTGATGATCCGTAACTCCCCTCCAAAAAGCGCTCTAATTGGGTCTTGGGAAAGGGGTGAGAATCGCGGTAAAAGGTGACCGAGCCAAAGTGGTACTTGAGACCGAGCCACAGTTCCTGGGGAAACACAGATACATCCTGATGAAACATTCAGGACACTCCGGCTTGTTTCATAAACTGCAAACGGGGCAGAGAGAGGCGCTTGCTGGGTCCATGGGGAGGGGGAGAAATAACAGGGAGCTAGAGTAGTGTTACAGTCTTTTAAGGAGGTTTTGGGGATATCCGCCACAGTTTTAAAATGCTCTAAAAAGTTTTATCACTGAATAGATGGACAGTGCCAGGGAACTCCAAGCACTCTAACCAATTCAAGAATTTAACATGGTCATAGTGTCTCTTTAAATTAAAGTGTCCCACTTTGTCCATTTAAAATGTTGGGAGGTATGGATAATCCAGAATATTTGGTGAGCTACCAGGAATTTCCTCTAGGATTGCATTCTTGAATTGCGTGCCCATCTTAGAGATGGACATTAATTTGATTAGCTAAGTATATGGGTAAAGTCTGTAAGAATTTCTCTCGATCAGTCTGTATATGTGTGTATCTACATCTCAGTCTTAGTGTTCCAGCTGTGAAACTGAGAAAGCTTTACTTATAAGAAGTTTTGTGCATTTTTGATGGTTTTTATTCTAACAAAAAAAGTTTGTAGAAAAAAAGGCAATGATCATTAAACGGAGAAAACAAAAGGTGGGGCACATAAAATATTTAATATCATTACTACACTGATCAACCAAAACATTAAAACCACTGACAGGTTAAGTGAATAACAGTGATAATATTTTTACAATGGCACCTGTCAAAGGGTGAGATATATCAGGCAGTGAGTGAACAGTCCATTTTTGAATTTCATGTCGGAAGCAGGAAAAAATGGGCAAGCGAAAAGATCTGAGTGACTATGACAAGGGCCAAATAGTGATGGCTAGACCACTAGGTTTAGAGCATATCCAAAACAACAAGTCTTGTGGTGTGTGTCCCGATATGCAGTGGTTAGTACCTACCAAAAGTGGTGTAAGAATCAATGCTTTCCTATGGGAAAAATATCTTATGCTGGATGTCCTCATGCATGCCCAGCATCAATTACCAGACTAGAGGTCCAGTAGGATCCAGAAAGCTCCTCCAGTGGCTGTCTGGGAGACAACCACTGGAGGCAGACTTAGTGCTTCAATGCAAACATTGCAGTTTCTCTCGTTTGAGCAGGGCCCTCATTAATTCTTGCTTCTGTAAGTCAAATTTGTGAGTTGAGCTTGTCTTGTGAACCCATTGTACTGGGCTGTGGGAAATGGCGGTTTATTATTTTCAGGATTTCTGTAGATGCTGTGGGGATATTTATGGGATGATAATATTATACAGTTGAGAATTGCCCACTATTTCAATTATCTTAGAGATTGTCATCATGTAAGTGAAATGTATTCCATACAAATAAAATCACAATTTGTTATAAAAATAGATATAATTTATTGTGACAAATAAAATAATAATATTAGGCAGCATGCATGATAATAATCAGTGAATATTTAGTATAACGTTGTATACAATAGCAATGGCTAAACACAGTACAATGCTACAGCATCAACTGTCAAGACTTACAAGATTTATGAAGGTACTTCACAGACACAGAAAGCAAAACTTCACACAGCACAGCGAAAAGCCATAAAATCTTGGCTCACAGTCAGATCAACTGAGTAACCCTTTCAATGCTGGCTAGATCCTCCTCAGCATATAATTTCCTATTCTCATGTAATTTTCAATTAAAATAACATTCAAACCAGCTCATTAATAATTTCCTGGAACCATCCTAAAGAGTCAAATCTACAGATTCTATAAGCCAAATTTTAATTTGCCTAAAAAGATATCTTATCTTATTTCAGAGCAAATCAACACACATGGATAAAAACAGCGGTATGCTAACACGTGGTAAGATACCAGTACTATGTAATTATCTGACTCCACCTGCAGAATGGAGTGTTATAACTACATATTCTTTATTTTATTAAGATTCCTCAATTATGGGATCTGATCGTGATTTATCCATGAATGTATCCTGCTATTAACAGATTTTAATTAATTTAGATTAATTAAATAAAACCAGCATAATTACCAGTTATGATGTAGATGTTCTCATCAGATGAGTAGGTAGTCCCAGGAACTTGAATGCGGGTATGATTGGTTGTATGGAAGTGTGTAAGTAATAGAGAAAAGTGATGTTGGTTAGAAAGTAATAGTAAAATTCTAAGTGTCAAGGGGTGTTTCTTGAGTTGTGTCCAAGAGAGTTTGCGAGTTGAGTGTTAGTCCCAGAGTGTCCTGAATATCTCTGAATGTCCAAATCTGAATGCCCAAAACTCACTTCTCTCTTCCCTTTGTCCTAACTTTTTAAAGGGAAAGATTCTCTGTACGTCATTAGTTGATAAGGCCAATAGGAAACTGTAGGTGTGTCTACGTTATCTAGTATTATCTAGTTTTTGGTCAATAGAGGGCGCAATTGCCTCATTAAACTTTCCTATCCAGGCTTATCTAAAATGACTACCATAACTTAAGTTTGCTGTCAGTTCAAAGCGTTTCTTGGGATTTTCTCCAGACAGCGCGTCGACAATTCCTGTTGTAATTTCTAAAATTGACAGTTCTAAACTCAATTTCACCCCTTACTTACAATGGGACCTTGTAAAATTTAAAAGTAAAATTAATTACAGAGTCTTCTCTGTCACTAGTGTCTGTGTTTAAAATTATTTCTATTCCATTAACATTTAAACAGAGCATTCCATCCCCCTGCTTCATTGCTTGGCTTGTTTACATAATGCATTACTTAGCTCAGGCTAGTGGCTAGTTACAGAAAGGAAAGAAATTTTGTGTCTGTCTTGCCTGAAGATAGCAAAATGGAGTCCGCTTTGTTCTGAGTGACTCTGGCAATATACACTTTTAATTTCTATCTTAGCACAAAATGTCTGCCGATATAAATATCCTGACAATGCCCAACACGCAGAACTTATAGATATAAAGCAAATACCTAAGACGTATTACCGGACATTAGAATGGCCGGATTTAACATAAAAAGTAGGGATTGACCAATATTGATTTTTTAGAGCCAATACAGATAATCTGTGAACTTTCAGGCCGATAGCCGATAACTTGCCGATATTCTGTACATTTACCATTTTGAAAAAATAAACTAATCCTAAAGGTAAATGCACAAAATATACATGCCACATGTAGTGGATGAAGTGTGTTTAGACAGGGGAGCTGTGTGTGTGTTTGTGTAGTGTGTATAGTGAATGCAGAGTGTGTTTGTGTAGTGTGTATAGTGAATGCAGAGTGTGTGTTTGTGTAGTGTGTATAGTGAATGCAGAGTGTGTATATAATGCATTGTGTGTGTTTGTGTAATGTGTATATAATGCAGTTTGTGTAGTGTGTGTATGTAATGTAGTGTGTGTGTATGTAATGCAGTGTGTGTGTGTTTGTGTAGTGTGTGTATGTAATACAGTGTGTGTGTGTTTGTGTAGTGTGTGTATGTAATGCAGTGTGTGTGTTTGTGTAGTGTGTGTATGTAATGCAGTGTGTGTGTTTGTGTAGTGTGTGTGTATGTAATGCAGTGTGCGTTTGTGTAGTGTGTGTGTTTGTGTGTAATGCAGTGTGTGTGTGTTTGTGTAGTGTGTGTGTGTAATGCAGTGTGTGTTTGTGTATGTAATGCAGTGTGTGTGTTTGTGTAGTGTGTGTGTTTGTGTAATGCAGTGTGCGTGTGTTTTTGCAGTGTGTATATGTAATGCAGTGTGTGTGTGTAAAATGGGGGTTGGGGCATTTTTTTATGTTAATTTTTTTTTTTAAATATTTAAATGGCGTTTTTTTGTTTTTTTAGTCCCCCCTCCCTGCTTCTACCAGGGAGGTGGGCTATGGCATTCCCTGGTGGTCCGGTGGCTTGTTAAGTACTGGGGGGCCAACAGCAAGCGCTGAATTACCTTGCCAGCAGCTCCTCCAGCTCCCCAATGTAAATCTCGCGGCCCTTAGTGCCGCGCAGAGCGTTGCCATGGTAACCCGTGGCAACGCTCTGATGGCAGCGGGTCTCGCGAGATTTACATTGGGGAGCTGCTGGCAAGGTAAGTCAGCGCTTGCTGTTGGCCCCCCGAGGACCGCCGGGCTTGTAATGAGCCCGGCAGTCCTAGGCAGTATTATCGGCAATATCGGTATCTATATTGGCCGATACCGATATTGCCGAAAATACCGAATATCGGCCGATTATATCGGTAAAACCGATAATCGGTCAATCCCTAGTAAAAAGGCAAAAGACAAAAGAAAGGGAAAAGCCAAGACAAAGGTATAACGCAAACGATAAACAAGCCAAAGGTCAAGGAATGGAGATATCAGAATAGTCAGGAGCCAAGCCAAAATTCAAGGAATACAGAGATCGGATAGTCAATAAGGGAAGCCAAGGTCCGCGCTCTCGGATAACCAACTGGAAACCACGACAGGGCACAGAGAAATGGACAAACTAGGTTTAAATAGCTTAAGGCATTTCCTGATAGGCTGTAGGGAAACATGTGATCAAGCTTATGTGTGTAACACACCCAAATTACATTAATTGATCTGGCCCTTTAAGGGTTAAACAGGAAACCCTTTATTATTCACAGCAGCAGCGGGCAGCGCCCTTAATGATACAGAGCCGGCTGCTGTGAGAGGAGAGGTCACCTCTGGTGTTTGGCAGTATTCCCCTTAGTTTGTGGGAATACCGCTGTAGCAATACGCGGGTGGTGTGACAATTATACATAGAAGATAAAATTATCATAAATTAAAAAAAACAAAAAAACTTTATCCTAATTAAGTAGTTTTTGTGTATAGATCATGCCCCATGCAGTCTCATTGCTCAATTCTCTGCCATTTAGGAGTTAAATCATTTTGTTTATGCAGCCTTAGACATACCTCCCTACATGTGACTTACACAGCCTTCCTAAACACTTCCTGTAAAGAGCCATCTTACGTCTACACTTCCTTTATTGAAAATTCTGTTTAATTTAGAATGTTTGTATCGCTCTAATAGCTTGCTAGACCCTGCAGGAGCTTCCTGTATGTGATTAAAGTCCAATTTACAGAGCAGGAGTTAAGTAACATCGAATTAAAAAAATTTAAACCATTTAGTTTTCATGCAGGCTGTGTCAGTCACAGCCAGGGGAAGTGTGGCTATGGCTGAATAAACAGTGATTTAACTCCTAAATGGCAGATAATTGAGCAGTGACACTGCAGGGAGTTGATTAATACACAAAAACAGCTTTATTAAGCTAAAGTTGTTTTGGAGACTATAGTTCTGCTTTAATTTTTAAAAGGCTTACAAACTATTTTCTACTTCTAGTTCTTCAAACCACCTAAAGCCTAAGCCCCAAGGGAATTCAAAGGTGTTTTCTGAAACAAAAAAAATCATACTTAATGTTCTATGGTGACGTTGGATGCACTTGTGCCTAGCTTTCTAAATATAGTGAGCTTTCTCACATGATTTAGAATTAGCAAATTCGGTTTAGCATGTCAATATTTAATTTAGGATTGCCGTAGGATAATATAAGGAGGAGGAGATGAAGAAGTATGGGTAGTTAGTAATGCAGTTAGATAGAAGAGACATAGTTAGTCCATGAATACACGTCCTGGTTACAAATTAATAAGCACATTAAGCTGCAAGTTGATGCCACAATATAGGATTTGCCACCAGATGAAAATGTTACTTATTTTATACATTTTGTACAATGCAAGAGCCATGTTATGACCCCCCCCCCCCAAAAAAACAAAAAACATACCTATTACTTAGAAATTATAGTTCACGCCCAAAAAACAACAAAGAATCACATGAACAATAAACAAACATTCATAAAATGTTTTATTGCTTGTTTATATATCATCAAAATTCCAAAAGGTACTAAAATTTTTAGTGTTATAAAATAGAAATTTTTGTTAAGAAATATTAATTATTGATTTTAAAATCAGCACACACTATGCAGAAGTAACTTCTCACAAAAAATGGCATTTACCAAATTTCTATTTCGTACAAGAGACAATTTAAGTGAAATGTAATGATAAGAAAAAAAGTCCAGAAAGATAAGGCAATCACCTAAAAGTCCATACTACAGAAAGACACATTACCGAATATCTTCCTAATAAATACAGCAGCTCTACATACATCCTTTCCAACAATCACACACACACACAGAAGGCAATTCACTCACTGGAAATGGTAAAGAATTGACAAAAGTATTACAAAAATTCAATTTTGCTAAATTGCATAGTGGCTGACGTAGCCTACAATTTGCATTTTACAATGTCCAGTTTAGTGAATAAATCCCACAGTTTAATATAGCCATTTTACAATAAGGCAGCTTAGTTTATTCAAAATATACTTTATTATTTTCTGCAAGTAAATCAGTGCCTGTCATTAGTTAAATTAAATTAGTAATAACTACAGCAAAAAAAGAAGGTCTGGTTTTCATCTACAGTACATCATTCCCTTGAGATTGGAATCGAACAAGGTTATTCACTAAACTTACAAATTTCAGATATAAGGTCAAAACAGCTTAATTGGAAAAATTATCCAAATCGCTATCTTTCCAATTTGACCTAATTTTAAATTCCCTGAATAATTCTGGAAAAATTAATGGTTTTGGCGAATAGCCCTGAGTGTAGTAGTGTGTTAAGGGGCAAAAACAGTCATAATCAGAAGTTATATATAGATATTTTCAAAATGTTGAAAATGAAGATACTTCCTATAATAGTTAACACTCTGAAGAGTAGACTATGACCATAGGGCTTGATGCGAGATACACGATTTTGCATGTCCCGTTGCATATATTTGAAAAGAAAGGCTAGCAGCAGTTGTATATGTTGTTGCAGCTATTTCTGGGAGGTAGTTTTTTTATTTGCGCAAGTGCTTCTCATCTGAAATATTGTTACATTTTATATTAATTAGAAGCGGACAATAATCTACTCTTGGTCACCGCTTTAAAAGTTTAAGAACGTGTGTAATAACGCATAAAAAAATAGTGGCCCATTACTTTCAAATATAAACCTGTTACTTGATGCAATGATTACAAATTCACTAAAGTTTTGGGCTAAATATTTTCTGTTGAAAATATAGCCAGGAGGATCTGAGGTAAGAAGTCATAATGCTCTAAAAACAGTATGTAAAAAAAAAAATAATACAAAAATCATAAAATGCAGTAATACATCACCTATTTCTTTTTGAAATTTTAGTTTACTATTTGTAGTATATTTCTATAAGAGAGAGGGCTTAATTGTCCAAACAAGTAAAAAAAAATCTGAAATGCAAATATTGATCCAAAACAACTGCATTCCTTATTCAGATTGTGTTTTGTTTTTTTCAAAGTTTGGCTAATTTTGCCTAAATTTTGCAATTTGGTTTTCATTTTCCCACAATGAAGTCTTTAGTGAATTAGAACCATTGTATTGCCCTCGTGCATGTATTTTTAAAACAGCTAAAACGTAATAACTGCCTGTTTTGATGTGAGCACTGATACACTGCCTTTTAGTCATATTTTAATTATTATTTTAGCTTTAACAGTGGCTTTGCTAGTGTAAGGATTCCCACAATTGAGGATACTAAACCACAAAATCCAATGAATCCTTGGTTAGTTTGGTAAATGTTTAGGCTGTCAAGAGGGCTAAAAAGATCACACAGGTTTTTTAAAGTGTCCAGTAAAACAGGCGGGTGGTTCTTTAAGCTTAAACAAAGTGCCAGTACGAATTGTTCAAGTACTTTCCTTAAAGATCGGTTTGGTTTGGAATTAGGACCATTGACATAACCTGTATCACGGCCATCATGTTTCAGTTCTTTAGACTCTTTCTCCATGCATCTTAATATTTCGTACACATCCCTAGCCAAACTAAACAGGAGCGAATAATAATAGCATTTGGTTGCTCTGATGCCCCATTTTTCCATGCTGATGTCAGTGACCAAACCAACACTTCTTGCCCATAGGATTGTGTCACAAGTAAAGTAAAAGAAACGGTTCACGTTGGCTGCGGTTAGACAGTAACATAGAAAAGAATCCGAAATCTTCACTGCTGCTCTTGAAGCTTCGATAGCATGCACCATGTTGCCAAGTCTGAATACTAGAGAAAACCAACAAAGTTAATCATTGGCTGTTGCAAGAAACAATGTGATGTACAATAGAATATGACTCATAGTTCAAAGGGCAAACTAACATGGTCCAAAACATATGGAATGTTTATGTAAAAGGTGAGTATGCCAGATCTTCGAAATGGAATGGAAAAAAAAAGGTTAATAAAGCTTCAGAATGATCTACCACCAAAATGTGCATTTGTGCTGTGTACAGTACAATTATGGTTGTGTATGTTCAAGAAAACTGTAAAAATTTTTGTTCTCATTGGAAATTAATTTATTTATAAAATATTTTACCAGGAAAGATACCTTGAGATTTCTCTCGTTTTCAAGTATGTTCTGGGTCCACAAATCATTGCATTGTTACAATTAGGGTACAATAAAATACAAAAACAATATTAATGCACAATAAATACAAAATTTAACATAGAACAGGCAGGAAATATATAATCAAACCTGACAGGTGCATTCTGTTTTGAG